GTGTAACCAATTCTATCTGAAAAATATAGATACTTACCAGGATAACTAGTGAAGTAAAAGCCTCTGTTTTCTCATGTGTAAAATGGGCAATACTTTTACCTTCAAAGTGTTTAAAAAACTATGTATAGTAGTGAATTTTTTTTTCTTTTCTTTTCTTTTTTTTTTCTTTTTTTAAGACAGAGTCACTCTGTCACCCAGGCTAAAGTGCAGTGGTACAATCTTGGCTCACTGCAACCTCTGCCTACCGGGTTCAACTGATTCTCCTGCCTCAACCTCCTGAGTAGCTGGGATTACAGGTGTGCACCACAACACCAGGCTAATTTTTGTATTTTTGTAAAGGTGGAGTTTCACCGTGCTGGTCAGGCTGGTCTTGAACTCCTGATCTCCTGATCCACTTGCTTTGGCCTCCCAAAGTGCTGGGATTACAGGCGTGAGCCACCATGCCCGGCCTGGTGGTGAATGTTACGTGGCCAGTCAGGTAGTCACTGCCAAGTGCATGGGAACTGTGGCTCTTGTTGCTTGTACACACTTTTCATTGTTCCTTGAAGTCATAGACTGCGGTTTATATATGTTTCTTTTTTATGTCCTATTAGTGTAGTCTCAAGTCTGTCACATAAAAGACATGCTATAAAAAATCTTGGATTGAGTAATTACAAATAACTTGCAAAAGGGCAATGAGAAGGAAAGTAAATGTTAATCTTTTCCCTGAAGTACACATATTTCTGTGTGTGTGTGTGTGTGTGTGTGTGTGTGTGTGCATCTCTGCATATTTATCCATGTAGATATAGATTGACTGGGATACATGGGACCTGTTATTCTGTCTTGCCAGCTAACAATCTCATTTTTCTTCAGTGCCAATCTCTAAAAGTGAAATATTGTCTTGATTCGTAAACATATTATGTTTTTCACCAAAATGAAGAAACAGTATGAAACAAGAAGAATCTACTTTTAGCAGACAGTGAAGTCTGACTTGCCATATGTGTTAACATAATTGTTCATTTATTTATAAGACACATAGTGACCTATAAGTTAGGGTCAGTGCAAGGGGGAGCCCTTCCCAGGGTGTTCAAAATCCATGAGGAAAACAGACAAGAGCTGCTAGACGGGTGCACTCTAGGGGTTGGGAGATGCCAGAGCCTAGTAGGACCATACTCTGTAGGCCATGTATGAAGAGGAGAGGGCACACAATTCAAGGGACTGGGTGACACATCTTTCGTTACTAAATTTCATGAACTTTATGGGCCCAGTGCTCCTTTTACTTAAAGATGGGATTCATGTCAAAAATAGACCTAGAAATAGGAGTTATACAGAGTCAAAGTGGTACAATCTAGTTCTTATTTTAGGATGTATAAAAGCCTCAATCTAAAAAAATGCCCCTATGTTTAATGCGACAAAAAAATCAGTTTCTTGTAAAATAAAGTATTTAAACCTGATATGAAAGGCATAGCAAAGTGAGAGTCTGGCCTGTTGATATTCACTTTATAACCAAACCCTCAGTTAGTCTGTCCCATAAATTCCAACATAAGAGATAAAATTTCTAAGGAAAAAAATGCTGGAATTCAGACTGTGTTCAGAGTGTGCTTTTGTACAAAGCCAAACTGCCCTATCCATTCTCAAAAGGTAATTCCCAAATGCATGTGAAATCGACCACAGAATTGCAGGGCTATTAGACAGTTTTATTTCTACCTCATAAAAATATTTCAAAACCTGTGGGAGTTTTATGAAACCAGCATTCATCAATCCTTATCATTCCCGATTTTGAGGCCCGTGAGATGCATCTCAGAGCAATTAGAGATGTTAATTTTGAAGCAGACTGTCACATGATAAATGCTTCATTATCTGTGGGCGATAGACCGTTTAAACGTTATCTCTTTCCAAAATCTTTATTTTTATGTATATGTACGTGTATGCATTTGTGTGTCCATGTGTGTATAATAAATAGATAATACCTGCAAAACAAACCTTGAGACTAATACCTACACGTTTCAAAAATGAAAGTTTATATTAAAAACTCTGTAGAAATGCCAGTCAGGACTTCCTTCTTCCTTTCTTCTCCTCTTTGTAGGAGCGAAGCTGTCTGAGCCCTGAGCAGTCTTCCAGATACAATGCACAATGTACTTGGTAATTTTTCTTCAAAATCCCTCAGTTGGTCTCTTTTCCCTCAAATGTCAGTATTTCTTCCTCATTCTCCAAATAAAAATTAAAATAAAAACATCCTCAATTGTATTTTCTTTTTCTTATTTATCTCTGACTTGACAAATTCAACTCCTTGAAATTGAGCTATTTGGCTCTAGATGCCCCTGATGCTGCTGAAACCTCCCCCTACCCTCAAATCAATGTCAGTGTGGTCCTTTCCAGGTGTCTTCTGTGGTCAGGGCAGACCTGTCTGAAGAACCTGGTCAGGGCACATGGCCTGGGCCCTGTGGGAGGAATTAACAACCAGACAGCCTGGGGACTCATCAGGAATTTATGGAGAGAGGGACACAGAAATGCAGCAAAGGTCATTTGTGTTGATCCCATCCTCACCCAAATATGACTTCTTAGAAGAATTAAAAGTAGTTCCTTCTTAGATTCAGTGTGTTTATTAGTTGCATGGTGTGTGTGTGTGTGTGTGTGTGTGTGTGTGTGAACTGTGGAGCTGTTAAAACAGTACTATATTTCCATTCAATAAAAATGTAAGAATAAAAGTGTTCTTCAGGTTTCTCTTTCTTCCTTCTCTTTCAGGCAAGCTTATATCTTAACTCTCCAAAACAGGTATCTGTCCCATTTAAAAATAATTTGAGCAAAGGAAAGGCTACTGTTTTCCTGATGGTCATTTCAGTATTTAGTCATTAATGTCAGGAACTTCTTCTCTCAATTATAGTCAGATTCTATGACTGATGCTGAAGCCTATCTCCTTTTGTTTGGCTTTCAGGGTCACTGACTGCTTCTCTTCTAGTACAGAAAATTATAGGATGGTAAAAGATAAAGATTTCCTTCAAGTGTATTTTCTTTAAGATTAGCTCTTTCCAATTCTGTTATCTATTCAGATAATTCTTCTGCCTGTTCTATGAGTCCTACCTTCAGAATGACACCTGGCCATTCTCATCCTGCAGCGTAACCAAGCCCACGCTTGAGAGCAAGTTTATGCGCCTGGTGAAGCATTGCACACTTCTATGACTGGAAATGTCCGCCCTCCAGCTCATTCCTATCGTCTTTTGCAACCCAGCTCCAGTACTTGGTTTTCCATGAAGCTGCCTCTAAGCCCATGGCCAATAAAATTGATGACTTCTTCCTCTGAGGCATTGCGCTACCTGTGTTTCAAGAAGCGCTCAAGTAGGCAGATACCTCGATAGCTATCCAAACACTGTTGTGTGGAGGGATGCATAAATGAATGAAACAGCCCATAAAGCAGGGAACTTGTAAGATACGGTGATCATTTAAACATCCTAATACTTTTTAAAATGAAAAGGGTGAGATGTCTCCATATTTTGCACAGTTAGCTATGTACACATTTAAGGTGGTAGGGTACATGGAACATTACATTCAAGACTGTGGAGGCTCGTACTGGTCTTACCACCTTGGGCAAGTCTCTTTCTTCCTGCCTCGTTACTTGATCAATAACTTGAGAAGGTGAGACTAGCTCAGTTATGAGGTTCTTTCCAACTCTAATCTTTCTTGAAGATGCTGTGATTGTGACAAATGGCAGTCTGCACACAAAGGGATAACCTTTGATGCTGATCATCAGGTAATCTTTCTTGTCCTTGATTCCTTGAGAAATCAACCTCCAATTTGAGAGAGGGTTGTGTGTGTGTGTGCGTGTGTGCGTGTGTGTGTGTGTGCATCAGTTGAAAAAGTGAACAGTTAGGAACTTGGAGATTGAGGGTGTTTCCAGGAGAGAGCTTCAGAAGATCCAGGTAGTCTAATTTGTGACCATGTGTCAAAACATAGGGAAGGTCAGTTTTTTCCTGAGAAAGAGTTGTGTGGAAGTCAGGTTGGGCAAGAAAACATGAAAATTAGCATCTGGAATAGGGACTCCTTAACACCTTCTGTCTCATCCTTTTCTTTTCTTTTTTTTTTCACGGAGTCTCAGTCTTATCACTAGGCTGGAGTGCGATGGCATGATCTTGGCTCACTGCAACCTCCACCTCCTGGGTTCAAGCGATTCTCCTGCCTCAGCCTCCTGAGTAACTGGGACGACAGGTGCGCACCACTATGCCCAGCTCATTTTTGTATTTTTAGTATAGACAGAGTTTCACCATGTTGGCCACGATGTTCTTGATGTCTTGACCTCATGATCTGCCCACCTCAGCCTCCCAAAGTGCTGGGATTACAGGTGGGAGCCACCACGTCTGGCCTCATCTTTTTCTTGGAAGAGTAAGTGTTCCTGCAGGCATCACTTTACTTTGTACTGTTGAAGGACATATACATCCTTCTCTCTGCCCCTGTGACCACCTTGCCATTTACCCCTATTCAACAATTTACCCACAACCTATTTGTTATGCTTAATAAGAATCATATGTAATGGAAGAATGAATACAGACTTCTAATACAGGACAGAAACCAGGAGTGTAACAGCTGTCCTTGGTGTTTTTGTTGGAAATGTTTGACTAAATATTGAAGTAGAAAATGAGAGGAGATTTAGACAGAGTATTGGGGGAATAAAAGTAGGTAAACTCAATTATCAAAATATATTTACAGCGTGGACTTCATTTATTGTCAACAAAGACCATCCATCATGGATACCCTTTCTTTTCCAATTAATAAAAGACTAACAGTTACTTTCAGCTTTGCAAGTGGTGAGGCTGTTTTAAATCTCATTAAGAAAGTTCCGTTTTTACAGAATAGGAAGCTGAACCACTGAGAAATTAAATGCCTTCTATGGAAAAGTTTATTTCAGCGATGGGTGGGCTGGAACCAACTTCTGCCAACACTTGTTCCCATGACCTTTTCTCTGTTCCATGCCGTGAGAATTATATCTCTGGTCTTAGTTACTCATTCCTCAGAGGAATTTCTTCCAGGGTGTGCATGGATATGGGCTACATATGAGAGAAAAGGCTGCACCTTCACAAAAATCATCAATTAAATACCCAGCACTGGTAAGTGCAGAGGAATCAATTACACGAAATCGCAGTTAGCAGGTTCTTCTCCTTTGGAAAATGTTTCCTGTTTATTGTGTGACAGTCAAGTATGAAATGAAATAATAGAAGCCCTAGGTGGATGGACAGAGCAGGGTGGAGTCGATGTGAGGATGGAAGAGCCAGCCCTATCTGCCCTGCACTGCCCTTCCAGAAGAAGGACCATGTTCTGCATTTCTTGGTGTGCAGGGATCCGCTTAAATGCCATTCCCTTGACTCATGTGAGCCTCTGCTTCCTGATCTGTGGCCCCTCGTGTGCTCTGTGGGCAGCTCATTGTCCCCTCACCTGTCATACCCTGACTGCAGTTATGTGTCTTTCCTTTCCAAGAAGCTGTCTGTCCTGTTTTTGGTTATGCTTGTGGGTACCTGGCACATGGTAGATAGGGATGAATGGATGCTTGTTGCATGGGCTCTTGGGAAAGCATAAAACTCAAGTTTCAGAATAATTTTCCCATTACTGGGGGTACTATTTCAAGGAATAATGAGAAGCACATAGTCAACATAATCAAGAGCTTGCCTTTCCTCTGATAATCTCACCACTTCCTCAGCATTTCACTGCCTGATCCACATTTGATGAAAGCGACTCAATTCCTTTATTTTCTTTTCTTGCTGAACATTCTTGTCCACACGAGTCATTATGAAAGCGGAAACCTTGTAGTCATTCTCACAAGGATATGTCAGTGTGCTAACGTTTGTGCCAGGTACCGGGGCAAGAAACACGCAAGGCTGCCCCTTGTTGGAGAGTTCAGTGTCTAATGGGAAGTCACTGAGAGGTGCCTAAGGTGTCACAGGGGATGGGCACTCATATGAGATGCTGCTTCAGGGATGGTGGTGCTGGTAGCATCTTGAAGGGGATTGTGCCTTAATCCCCAATGTAATGGTATTGAAGGTGAGGGCTTTGTGAGGCGATTACAGGTACTGAGGGAGAAGTCCTCATGAATAGGATTAGTGCCCTGGTAAAAGAGGCCCTAGAGTGCTCTCTTGCGTTTTCTACCACCTAGGAACACAGCAAAAAAACACCATCTAGGAATCAGGAAGCAGGGCTGCCCAGACAGCAAACCTTCTTCCTGCACTTTTACCTTGAGCTTTCAGCCCCGAGAACTGTGAGAAATAAATTTCTGTGGTTTATAAGCCACCCAGTCTATGATATTCTATCAGCCCAAACAGACTAGGAGAGTATAGTAGCCTTCGAGGGCAACTGGATCAAGGGGAAGGAGGACTTTTTATTTTTTAAAGATGTCAGCAACTGGCTGGGCATGGTGGCTCATGCCTGTAATCCCAGAACTTTGGGAGGCCAAGACAGGCAGATCACCTGAGGTCAGGAGTTTGAGATGAGCCTGACCAACATGGTGAAACCTCATCTCTACTAAAAATACAAATATTAGCTGGGTGTGGTGGCATGCATCCCTAGTCCCAGCTACTTGGGAGGCTGAGACAGGAGAATCACTTGAACCCAGGAGGAGGAGGAGGTTGCAGTGAGCTGAAATCACACCACTGCACTCCAGCCTGGTGACAGAGAAAGACTCCATCTAAAAAAAAAAAAAAAAAAAAATCTGCAACTTAAGCATTTTTATAGGCAGGGCAGAGGGGACCAATAAAAATAGAATAGGACATCGTAGTTGGGCTCAGGAAGCAGGAAGTACACCTCCTTCTTGGATACTGGAAGGGAAGGTATTGCTGATGAAAACCCCAAAGTGAGAAGAGATTCATGGAGGATGCTTCATCACTGGGTTTGAGCTTTTCAACACAATTGGTGGGAAAGACATCTGCACAGAATCAGAAAAATAATGAATGCAGCCACGGTACCTTAGGGCGCTGGAAAAGGCACTGCACCCGGCCCTCGGGGAAGCTGATCTGAGAGGCACGCAGGGCGTCTCAGTGTAGGGAGCTGTGTGGAGATGCATCTGGAGGCAGTGAGTCTTACTTCCTGACTTTGTAGCCCTGCAGCTCAACAGCCTCAGCGAGAGTCAGCTCCCTGCAATTTGCTTTCCAGGTACTGCTCTCTGGTGTTTAGACTTCCACAATGGGAAAGATGAAAGAAATATATTTTGGCCGGGTACAGTGGCTCACACCTGTAGTGTACAGTTAGTCAAAACTCCCCCCACCCCAATCCTTTATCAAAATCAATGTTTAGAAACCAGCAGGGTGAGTTTTTTGTCTGCCAACCAGATGCTTATATGTCCATGGGCAGGAATGATCACAAGAATAACTCATCCATCCAGCTGGACTTGGGGATGTTTCTAAATGTTTGATAGAGATCCTGCTATTCACTCAGCTAACTGACATCTTTTCTTTAGGAACCGTGGAGCACGCAACACATCCCGGCACTGTTTTCAGCCTTCTGTGGCCTCTTGGTCGCCCTTTCTTACCATCTGAGCCGGCAGAGCAGTGACCCATCTGTGCTCATGTGAGTGATCTACGCCTGTGCTCAGTCATCACTGAGCAGGGGGTTGCGGTTCCCAAAGCTTTGTGCCCTGACTGAGGTGGGGAGAGGGCAATTCACTGCCCGTTGTGATTTGACTCTCATTATTAAACTAGCTGGTCGCTCACTAGAGGAGGGCAGGAGAAATACAGGACCAGCCAGAAACTAGTAACAATTAAAAGTGAACATCCAGCAAACATTTTAGCTTTGCTCTTTTGATTTTGGAGTAAAATGAACAATGGCGGGAACAGACGGTGGCCGATAGCACTTAAGCCCTGTTGTGACTTTCCCTTGAGTGAGTTGGGTGAGAAGCTACCACCTCAACAATACCCCTTCTAGATCCTTTAAGCTGCATCCCTGCATTTACTCTAGGCAGTTACCCTGCAGAGATGAAACCAGCACCTCTGAAAGGAAAGGTTTTTGTTTTATTTTATTGTTTTTGTTGTTGTTGTTGTTCTCAATCTGGATTTAAAGTGAGATTTGCACCAAAGTGTTAAAATGAATGGAATGTGATCCTTAATTAAAATCTTCCCCTTAATCATATCTTTATGTCTTTGGTAATGTGTACTCTGGCACTGGAAATCGTTCATGTGATGCCAAAGTGAGTTTCAGATATTGACAGTAGCATCTTATGCAATGTGTTTAAATTTATGAAAGATTTTGATTTAAGAGAACCATAACTCTTGGAGGACAAGAGACACCATAATTTTAGACTATTAGATGCAGCAGTATGAAAGGCATGAAAAATGGGGAAAAGTTAAATGTGGTTCTCACAGTTTTTAGTGTCAATTGTGTTATTGTAATGTTTACTTTCTGCTGCTAATTGTTTGTGAAGATGAAGCCCTAGTGGGCTGGCAGAGATGAAGGACCTTCCCCATGTCCCACTGCTGACAGTAGAGGGCAATGATACTGCTAAGGTACTTGACTGCTCTCATTAGGGTGCAATTTACAATCAAAACACTATCTTTATGATCACTTGAACATGCATCTCTTTTTATTATATATATGTGTGTGTGCGTGCGTGTGTGTGTGTGTGTGTGTATATATATATTTCTTTTTTTTTTTTTTTTGATATGGAGTCTCACTCTGTTGCCCAGGCTGGCATGCAGTGGCACGGTCTCAGCTCACTGCAACCTCTGCCTCCCAGGTTCAAGCGATTCTCCTGCCTCAGCCTCCCGAGTAGCTGGGATTACGGGCCCTTGCCACCATGCCCAGCTAATTTTTGTATTTTCAGTAGAGACGGGGTTTCATCATGTTGGCCAGGCTGGTCTTGAACTCCTGACCTTGTGATTCACCTGCCTTGGCTTCCCAAAGTGCTGGGATTATAGGTATGAGCCACCACACCCAGCCTACTATAAATTTTTAAATGAAGAGAGCACTTGCTTTTGTCATGTGTGGGTGTGAGATCTAAAGCAAAGTTATTAACTGAAAACACTGTCCCAAGAACACCTTTGATAAAGTGAAATGTATGTGTTTTTCCACTTTCAGGTCCTTCATGCAATGCAGACTGTTTCCTAAATTTTTACATCAAAATCGGGAAGAGTCATCTGCTGACCCTCTCCCCAAGAAGATGAAAGATTCAGTGGTGAGACATTTGCATTGCGTAATGTAGTATAGGAGTGCCTCACCTTTTCAGCAAAGCTCAGGTTCTCAATGGGCTCTAGTCAGGTGGACATGAGAAGGACTAGGACAGAAAGAGACACCTCAGCTTGGTACCTGACACACTGAGCTGTTGAGCTGCCTGCCAGGTGCAGCCCTTTAGAGCATCTTAATGGTGGCTGTTATGCACACATTCATGGGCGCTCAGGTGGCCCTCAGGTGGCTGCAGTTTGCCAGGATAGTCACATGAATCGCATTGTCAGTTTTGCCTAATTACTGGCACCTAACAGCAGGTGGGCTTCGCACAAATGAAAGCTTGTCAGATAAATGTTGCGCCAACCTGCCTTCCTGATGTGGTCCACACATAGCTCTCCTCCACATCTTCTCCCCTCAGCACCATGCTTGATTCATAGCACTCTTTCAAAGTTGATGTCTGCACAGCCATTGCTTGGGCCCCTTGGGCTTTAGACTTATGGCTGGGTCACAGAGTAGAGAACAACCACACTGGGTGAAGCACAGGAGAAGAAAAGGAAGGAGAGGAAGGAAGAAACGAGAGAATCCTACAGCTACAAAATAATGATATCATTTCCTTGTTCACCAGGAAAATGGCTCTGGACAGCTTCAGACATTGCGCAGATGTAGTTTCTTTGATATCAACTTACAAACACTCATACTTCGAAAAGCAATGCTCATTAATTGTGGAAGCTCCCATACATGTGAATATTGAGCTTGAAGCTGTCTAATATCCTTGACTCACACTTTTCCTGGTTTTCTTAGGAATGACAGATAAAAGGAAAAGGGAATAGTCTGCTGATCCAGCCAGGACTGTGTCTCAATTGTCTTGATATCCACAGAGCCAGTGCCTGGTGTTCTAGTGGGAGCTCAGTACAGTTCATGGAATTCAGACAAGATGAATTGCAGTCTGCCACTTCGAGACAATGTGCTGGGCTCAACAGCCAACATGATAGCCTTTAAAAAAATTCATACTCAGCTTTTGTGCCTTTGAGTGTGGTCACAATTCAAGCTAATGTACTGAGGCTTTTTTTTTTTTTTTTTCCCACCACAAAGGGAATTAAAGGACAAATCACTTAATATGAGTAAGGGCATAGTTCATGAATTTTAAGAGCAGAGATACATTTAAAAGCAGGTTAAAAGTCGAAGCAGCTGGGCCTGCTGAGATGGCAGGTAAAAAAAAAAAGAGAAATAATTGACATAAGCCTGGCATCCTCAAGCTGACCTCTAGTATTTATACCAGGAGACTTGCAGGGAGAAGGTCAAAGTGACACTCCCACAGCATTTTCTGTAAAAGCCATAGGGTGGCCCAGAGTGTACCTGAAAGTCTCCTGGTGGGTATCTGAGAAAAACCATGTCCTTCAGTCTTCCTTGATTTCATGACTAATGAAGATGCATCTCTATTTTCTGATTTATTGCAGTTAAAAATAATGTAGGAATTACAAAGAAATTTGACAAGAAATGTGCCCAGCAGATGTTGGTAGTATTTCATTGGTATAATTACATGTGATGGGCTAGGTTTGCCTCCCTTGGTTTTCATACCCTTTGAAATGCTTTGTACAGTGTGGAGCACATAACTTGTTAGGTGATTTAATAAGATGTTTGTGTTCGTTTCTCTGAAAAGTCTCTGGCCTTATTATAATATTTTAATGGGAATATCACATTCAGCTTTTAGAGTTTGATATGTAATACCTTCTGTGACACAGTGCAAGCAGAAAACCCCCCTCCTCATTGTGTCTGATTTAGTTTCTCTGTATCTCTCTCCACCTCTTATTTTCTCTGTCAGTCTCCCTCTCTTTTCCTAAATTTTAATTTGTATGAGAAGCCCTTAGTGAGCCTCATTTGGTTTCAGTTTTCTAGCCCTCCCTCCCCCATTCTGATTCATTTGGCCTGTGAAGGGGTCTGAGGATCTTCAGTTTAACAAGAATGTGTTCACCCAGGTGATTCTGTTTAGGTGATCCACAGATTGTACTTCAAGAAACACTGATCTAGAATCAGAGATATACCAATGGGCCTATACATTTGCATATGAGCAAGATAAGTTATGCACACAAAGTTTATCACCCAAATCCATTACTCAGTAAAGATATAAACTTTCTACTAGTGATTTGCCTGGCTAGACTTTTTTTGTAGGTCTTATTAGCATAGACTGTAAGTTTTTAACTTTCATATCTTCATTATTTTCAACATCCTTTATTATGTTTAGATTTGTTAGTTTCACTGTATCAACTTTCTTCTGTTCCTAAAAACAAACAAACCAAAATGCATATTTAATTTTTAGGTATAAAATTCAAACAGTTTTTTCCTAAATCATTGGTTATAATATCTAGATTTTGTTTTGGTCCCATGCTGCTAGATGTGGAATGTTGGACCAGGCCTTTATTTATTTATTTATTTTTTTAGAGAGAGAGTTTTGTCCTTGTTTCCCAGGCTGGAATGCAATGGCACAATCTCAGCTCAGCTCACTACAACTTCCACCTCCCAGGTTCAAGCAATTCTCCTGCCTCAGCCTCCAGAGTAGGTGGGATTACAGGTGTGCACCACCATGCCCAGATAATTTTGTATTCTTAGTAGAGACAGGGTTTCTCCACTGTGGTCAGGCTGGTCTTGATCTCCCGACCTCAGGTGATCCGCCTGCCTCGGCCTCCCAAAGTGCTGGGATTACAGGTGTGAACCACCATACAGGGCTTCTTAAACTTCCTTTGGGAGTTGGAGTGTGAAATACTATATAAAATGACACAGTGAATTCAAAATGTTCAGTATATGAACAGCTATTTCTTGGTTAAACATGTATGGATTTACCATAAAATTATTTACCATAAATCCAAAAATTTGTATATAAATTTTTCATCGTTTTCTCTTTGCAGCCTTACACTGGCCAGAACTTCTAAGACAATATTCAATAATATTAATAGTTTGCTCTCTATATATACATATTAATATATTTTTAATCTATGTATTTCGTGTATATAAAATAGAGAGCAAACTAGTAAAGAGAAAAGAGTAAAAGACAAAAGATGGTGTTTTTATTTATATGTATATGCAACTTTACTATGCATACTGTGTAATCCTAATAACTATGATTAATAAGAGGATTCATAAATATGACCAGAGAAAAGAAAATTTAGAAAAGGAAGAACTATCTAACCTACCAGAAATAACCTGTGAAAATGTGATCCAGCTCACAGTACCAACAAAATATCTGACTTGATAATGGAAATGATTTTAACTAGTGTCACAAATAAAGTAAACTAACTACAGCAGTAAACAGCTACTAACTACAGAGTTGTATTCCCAATATTGAAAAATGATTCTAAGGTTCCTTTAGGAGAATAGCAGTTAATAGTTTTTAAAAACTTGAGAAAGAAGCATAAGAAAAAGGAATTTAGCACTTTTAGATTTAAGAGTAAAGCAATTGCTGGGTGTGGTGGCTCACACCTGTAATCTCAGCACTCAGGGAGGCAGAGGCGGGTGGATCACCTGAGATCAGGAGTTCCAAACCAGCGTGGACAACATGGTGAAACCCAATCTCTACTAAAATTAGCCAGATGTGGTGGTGCATGCCTGTAATCCCAGCTATTTAGGAGACTGAAGCAGGAGAATCACTTGAACCTGGGAGGTGGAGGTTGCAGTGAGCCAAGATCGCGCCATTGCACTCCAGCCTGGGCAACAAGAGTGAAACTTCGTCTTAAAAAAAAGAAAACAACAACAACGAAAGAGTTAAGACTGAATAATTAGAAAAAAATATGAGATACGAGACTATCCAAGATCAGAGAATGGGATTAGTAGATGAGAAAAACACGAAAAGGAGACTGACTCTTTTATGAACATGTTATGTGAAAATTAAATGTCACAATTAAAAATTGATTTTCAGACTGTAGTGTTGAGATAATTGTTTAGCAGTGGGAATGAAAAATGAATCTTATCTCACCAGACGCTCATGTAAATGAGAGAGGGATTTCAGAGTTTCAAAAAGTGAAAGGTAGAGGAAGAGTGAAAAGGAAAGGAGAGTCACATGGGACTTTTTCATTTCTGATATTATAGCAGGCGACTACTGATTAAAAATAAAAATTATGAATAAAATACAAAAAAAAACCCTTCTTAAATGTAACAAAGAAACTGACAAAATAATAAGGAATTATCAGCTAAAAATCTGAGTGAACAGGAGTACCTGGAGGAAGCAGGTCAGGAAGCTGCTTTTGCCCCAAGAGCATCTGTCCAACCTGGGGACCTAAGCCTTGTTTTTTGGACCTCGAATATGGAGAGCAGAAGTTGGAGCCCAGGTGGGAATCCAATGCCAGACCATGGATCATCAGCCTGGGACACCAAAGTGTCATATTCTGAGAGTGAGGAAGATTCTCAGGAAGTCAGCTCTACTACCCTCCATGCTAGGAAGTACAAGCAGACTCAACTCACTATTGAGTGAAACAACAAGAGAATCCTTGAGAGTTAAGTTTGCATGGATTTGCAGCACAAGGTCAAACAACTAGATGGCACCGAAGCCGTCAATTTATGAAGATAGTTTAATGTGATCCCCAACTGGAAACACCTCATGGCAGAAACAAACATGAATACTCTCTAAAAGATTCCTTTTTCCAAGTATTTCCCAAACCATTTTTTTGAGGTAAAATGCACGGCTTACTATAAAAAAATTTTTATCCTACATATGTAGATAAGGAACCAACAAAAACAGGTCTGCAAATACTTGATACTGGAAGTATCAGGCACAGATTTAAAACAACTATACTTATTATGCTTAATGAAGTAAAAGGCAAGCTTTAAAGTTTACAGACCACAGAAAAGATTGAAAACAATCCAGCATGTTTGAAAGAGAGCCAAATAGAATTTTCTAAACAAGCAAACAAGTGAATCAATTGAAATATACACCACTCCGCCACCCAACACATGGGAGATTAGATACCTTTGAAGAGAGAATTAGTGAACTGAAAGATAAAGAGAGAAGAAAGTACTCAG